CATTTTGAGCAAAAGGATGTCTTGGAGAATTATTACTGGCACACATTTGAAATAAAATTTATAACACAAAAAAAGGAGAAGTAAAAAGGTAACAAGTTTACATAAGAAAGATTGTATAGCACCAGTATTGGGATAAAAAGCAACAATAATAAGATGGAATAAAACTAGTAATAAAATAATAGTAATAATGAAGAGTGTATAGAGCCAGAGTGTTGGAATAAAAAGCAACAATAATAAGATGGAATAAAACTAGTAATAAAATAATAGTAATAATGAAGAGTGTATAGAGCCAGAGTGTTGGGATAAAAAGCAACAATAATAAGATGGAATAAAACTAGTAATAAAATAATAGTAATAATGAAGAGTGTATAGAGCCAGAGTGTTGGGATAAAAAGCAATAATAATAAGATGGAATGAAACTAGTAATAAAATAATAGTAATAATGAAGAATGTATAGAGCCAGAGTGTTGGGATAAAAAGCAACAATAATAAGAGGGAATAAAACCAGTAATAAAATAATAGGAATTATGAAGAGTGTATAGAGCCAGAGTGTTGGGATAAAAAGCAACAATAATAAGATGGAATCAAAAATAGTAATAAAATAATAGTAATAATGAAGAGTGTATAGAGCCAGAGTGTTGGGATAAAAAGCAACAATAATAAGATGGAATCAAACTAGTAATAAAATAAGAGTAATAATGAAGAGTGTATAGAGCCAGAGTGTGGGGATTAAAAGCAACAATAATAAGATGGAATCAAAGATAGTAATAAAATAATAGTAATAATGAAGAGTGTATAGAGCCAGAGGGTTGGGATAAAAAGCAACAATAATAAGATGGAATCAAACTAGTAATAAAATAATAGTAATAATGAAGAGTGTATAGAGCCAGAGTGTTGGGATAAAAAGCAACAATAATAAGATGTAATCAAACTAATAATAAAATAATAGTAATAATGAAGTGAGTCTTGATAAAGATAAAAATTTGCAGAACCTGAGACATAATAAAAACTCTTCTCTATTTTTCAATCAGTTTCAATCTTAAAGCAGACAACATTTTAAGCTCAGCCGAATTCCCTGTACAATTGTGAGAAACATAAAGCAAACGCTTTCATCTGACAAACAAGATTTTATGGGGCACACCCTTAACTAAAAACTAATCAGTCTTCATCTCTGTGCACGCCTGGCTTCTTCCCTTCCAAGGCTGATTGAGACATATCAGTTTGCCCAGCGTGACAAAGTTACATTACATCGGTCTGCATATCTCCTTAGAAAAAGAAATGTAGCCGCAATATAAGGCGTTCTCTTGTACAGATACATCAGGTATGCATTGCATTGGCAGAAGAATTTGCATCTATCAGCGCAATCATCTGTAACTCTAATTAAATAGCCTCATGCATCGTTAACTGAAAATCAATGAAGTAATACACATAGGGCACAAACAGAAACAAGTACTTCTTACTAGGATGGATAGATAGATAGATAGATAGATAATGAAAAGACTGGGGTAGATAGATAGATATAAAAGGACTTGGATAGATAGATAGATAGATAGATAGATAATGAAAAGACTGGGATAGATAGATAGATATAAAAGGACTTGTATAGATAGATAGATAGATAGATAGATAGATAGATATGAAAAGATTGGGATAGAGAGATATAAAGACTTGGATAGATATAAAAAGAGATAGATAGATAATGAAAAGATTAGGATAGATAGATAGATATAAAAGGACTTGGATAGATAGATAGATAGATAGATAGATAGATAGATATGAAAAGACTGGGTATAGATAGATATAAAGACTTGGATAGATATAACAAGACTGAGAGATAGATAATGAAAAGACTGGGTATAGATAGATTCAAAAGTACTTAGATAGATAGATAGATAGATAGATAGATAGATAGATAGATAGATAGATAAGAAAAGACTGGGATAAATAAAACTTAGAAGTGAATATAACAAACCCAACTGGAATTCAAACTCAGCTCTGATTCCTCAATCCAGTCTGATTGTCTAAATAGTTATCATCGTCTCAGGTATATATATATATAAATAAATCCTAAAGAGCCAGGAACATCCTACTTAGGTTTGACCTAAACGGATCTTCAGGTTAAGCTGGTTAAAGAGGAAATGACATGAAAACTGTATTTATTGATAAAACCACTAAAAACTAATTAGCATAAAAACCTCATGACAGAAGAAGATAGGGAAAAAATCCCACAGAGCCTCTATTCCAATAACCAGGATTTCCTATGCCTACACCTATTTAAAATCTCAGATCCTTGATTTAATAAATTATTAGGTTCATTGGAGGCAGCTACTGATAATTTTTCCTCCATACATAATAAGCAATATATATATATATATATATATATATATATATATATATATATATATTTGAGACACAAGCTCTGAAATTATAATAGTTTTTATTCATAGATGTTTGTTTCGTAGTAAAGCATGGTTTCGAGAATCATAAGACTCTTGTTACGGTTTGACGATACTAGTATTTTGGTATCATTTGTGGGTAGCTGTCTAATGTTACTGTGATCCTTATGCTGCTTATTAACGTGTTTTCTGAAGCAAGTGAGAGACCCACACAAAAGATCAACTGAAGGCAAGGATTATGGCAGCATTCACCAACTTAAAAGATCATGACAGCTATTAGAGAGATGTCATTAACCCTAGAACACTACCCATCAATTAAAGTTACACCACTACTAACCATGGGTATATCATACCCGATTTTGAAAATATCAAAAAAAATATTAAATATAAATCTTTATTTGAAATATTTGACATGCAGGCGTTGCGGAATTTATGCTAAGTAAGATGTGTCAGAAGGTGAAATTGTGTGAAGGCATAAGATGTGCATGTACATTATGCATTTATCCACAACAAATAAATTAAACAAACATATAAAGACAATACAACTTGAAGAAATCAAGGAAAAACAATGTAGTTATAGATTTCAATAATAACATGAATTTATATATATATATATATATATATATTTGACATACACAAAGTGATGATAGGTTGTTTGTTAAATGTGACAAGTGAGATAAGATTGTAAAGAGTGTCCATGCAGAGATTTGATGAATGAATGTTGATGGTTTAAGTTTGTTTGTGAAATTAAAACAGTTTGATTTCTGCAAGGTAAAATGTCAATTGTGTGAGTTCAAATAATAGTGTGTATGTGTATGACAATTGTAAGTGTTGATTCAAGTTATGAAGAGTTGTGTGCCTTTGACTGATATGCTAAAGTTGATTAAATGTACAATTACTATTCTGTAGTGATAATGTCACTGTTTTAGTAAATTGTAAGTTAAGTTTCTTCACGCGGCAATAGTAGTGCAAGTTGTATTGAGTTGATGAGAAGCTGGTAGTGTTATTGAGTCAGTGTGTTGGCACGCGTGGAGTCTGCTGGTATCTCTCGAAACTCAGTGTCTGACTGACTTGAATCAAGTTGAGCGATTCATTTTTATAGATTTTGGGGTTTTCAAAATAGGCTTCAGACAGCTGCGCGGGAAAAAAGGATTTGTCTCAATTTGCTACATCTTTGTGTCCTTTTAACCAATGGGAAGTTGAGTTTGGAAAAGTGAAGTGATGATTGGTTAAAGGTTAATTTAGGGAAGAGTGCATCTTCTCATAGGGGGTGACAGGCAAGTATGGAGGATTCCATACAGGCACTTCAAACTTTGTACTTGGAGTTAACATTAATAGGAACTGAAAAACATTATTTAGGTAAGAAAATTAGGTATTGAAAATTGTAATTAAGAATAGGAAAATTTGTGCTGGGTACTATGTACCCATGGTTAGTGTTTTAGGGTTAAATATACTTTAATATTTTTAAAAAAAATATTCAGTATTATTATTGTTTAGTTAATAAGAATTATAACTGTTATGGAACCTTATCCATAATAACATAATGGACTATTCCATACGTAATAAATACTGCACCTCAAGAGGAAGCAGAGAGTTCCGTCCAATGTCGGGCAACCGGCTGACCGACTGATCAGTTGAACTCTCTGCCTTTGGGTGGGGAGGAACCCGAACGAGGCTACGCCAAAGGGCGGAGTCTCTTTTGGGGAGGTAAACCAACCCTGAACCCGTTTATACGGGTTCAAAGGGCATATTTTTGGCTGAGCCCACAGGCTCGGGCTCGGAGATCCCACAGGCTCGGAGATCCCACCTTAAACCGGCCTTGTGCCACATGATGCCCTTGTGGGAGGGGGTGACTAAATACCGTTCAGTCTGAAGTCTGGAGTAAAGTCCGCCAGAAGTCTGTCAGTCAGTCAGAGCAAGTGAATCAGTTAGTCGAGTCAGAGGCAGTCCAAAACAGATTCGCGTCCAGACAATTACTACTAAACCTGATTGTTCGTACTAAGACTTTCTACTTCTCTGTATATATTCCTGTTTGTAATATATCTGTCTAATTTCATATCTGTGTTCAAGTTCTTCTTTATTGGTTCTACCTTGGACCATTACTGTGGTACAAGGACCTAGACCCTAACAATAACATAGCACAAATAGCTATATTGTGGGAAAAGATATTTATGTTTATTTTTTAACTTTTATCAAAAACGACATTCTTGTACATGTAGTTATGGATAATATTACACATTAATTACTAATTTTTTTTAATTAATAACTATTTGTCCCCAGTTTTTGACATTAATAGTTATCTGCTGATGTGTTAAAATTTTGGAATAATGCAATAATAAAAATTTAAATTTCTGATAGATGTTTGGATCTATAAACAAAGAGACTTTGTTTATAGATCCAAACATCTATCAGAAATTTAAATTTTTCCGGAAGAGCTGTAGGAGATTCCGAAGTCATCTGGAGACCGTCGTTGAAGCCAATGGCGATTTTATTAAATAAATTTACTCTTCAGTATCTCAAGATATTTTTGTGTAATTTTGGTAAATATATCTGTTAAAATAAAATGTCAGTTTTATTTTTATTTTTACGTCATAAAGACAACACTTTATCCATCGCATCCTGTATTTACCAAAACAATGGCACGGTGCCTCATTTTTTTTTAGAGAGAGGGTATTATCTCAAATTTTAAAACTGCCCACCCTAAGATTGCCACAAGCGAACAAGATAAATAAGTCAAGAAGCTCTTAGACTTTAAAAGAACTTTACACAGTAATTGGTTAATTGAATATGCGATAAACCCTTCAGAATCAGGAAGTCCCTCCGGCCTAAAGTGAGCAAGTCAATTAGTCTTGAAAAAAAGCAGGCAACCTTCAATTTTTAGGCAATTCTTTGAAATGCAGAAGGTGGTGCCAAATATATTGCACAGACACACACACATATAAACATGGACAGTTTTATACACACACACATATAAACATGGACATTTTTACACACACACACACACATATATAAACATGGACATTTTTACACACACACACACACACACATAAACATTTTTACACACACACACACACACACATATAAACATGGACATTTTTACACACACACACACACATATATATAAACATGGACATTTTTACACACACACATATAAACATGGACATTTAGACACACACACACATAAACATGAACCTTTTACACAGACATAAACATTTTACACAAACATGGACATTTTACACACACACATACATACACACATTTTACACACACACATACATACATACACACACACACACATATATATATATATGTGAAAAGTGTATATAAATATAAATATATATATATATGTATAATTATTTATATATTATATGCGCGGTACTTATTAGAAAGCGCTCAATATCAGAGATAGAGCTAACATATTTGGTTGGATAGATGTGAGTTTGTGACCCTGGGTTTCACGCTTTAGCGATTGTCAGACCTGACGATCGCTAAAGCGTGAAACCCAGGGTCACAAACTCACATCTATCCAACTAAATATATATATATACATATATATATATATATATATACTGTGTGTAACAGCAAAATTGTCCAAATTATATAACAGCATATTTGTTCATCCCACAAAAAGTTTAATACAGTGTAACCCGGATATAAGAGAGTTGTCGGGACTGGAGAAGAAGTCTCTTATATCCGGGTTTCTCTTATATCCGGGTTTGGTCTATTTTGTTTAGGTAAGTATGGGAACACTTTGGGACCAGAAAAATCTCTTTTATATCCGGGTTACACTGTATCTACAAAACCACTATCCTAATTGAGTTTCTTTTTACCAGGTTTTCAGATAAGAGGGTTAGTCATCGTGACACCATTTGACTCCTGTGAGTTATTCAGCTAGAAAGAGAACAGGTTAAAATCGTTTCATGTCAGATCCATTGTCTTCCCAACCGAGCAATGGGAAAAAACATTCAGGCCTTCAGTAATGGTTCCAAAATTCATACTCTGGCTTCCAACTTCAAATTTCATTCAAGAACCATCAAGAGAATAATGAATAAGTTTAAAAATGAGGGAACAGTAAAGAGGAAAACTAGATCAGAAGGTCACAACAGAAAGAGGAATCATCCTTTCAACTTAGAGCTAAAGAGATCAATTAGAAAAGATCCAACTCAATCCATAAGAGGTTTGGCACGAGAGAGAGAGAGGAGTTTCAGCTATGACAGTCCAAAGAGCAGTGAAAAAAGACTTGAAAATGAATATGTATGTTAAACATGTGAGGCATTTTTTTACTACAGGATAGGAAGTTAGGTTAGAGACAGTGAAGATCATCTTGAAAAAGTTGGAAAATGATCCTGTAATAATATATATATATTTGAAGCTCATTTCAATTTTTCATGAGCTTCTAATCCTTAGCTATGATTAATTAATGATGAACATGTCATTTTCGTTTATGATCGATTTCATCAGGATTGTTTTGTTAAGCTTGGAGAGTAATTATACATTCTTATTGTTCAAAGTAGCGTACAATAGTGTTATAAAAACCTCAGAGAATTCCAGTAAAATATCTTTAATCATTGCTAAAATACAATTGTTCAAAGCTTAATCAAATAATTGGACAATTCTGCTGTTACACCTACTATATACGTTGGATATTATGTATATTTACTTATATATATATATATATATTAATAAAGGTAAAATTAAAAATAACTTATCTTGACTGACGCATTTTAACCTTTCAGGGACTTTATCAAGGCAATTGCAAGGATTTTATTTTGTAACAAAGTATACAAGAACAAAAATATTATTGGTTTTTCAAAATTATTCATGAGCACCCCTATACCAAAACTGAGTGTGTGTAAATGTGTTTTTGTATATGTGTGTGTATTATTTTTTAAACTATTTTCTTTTTATATTTTAACCCAATGTATATAAAATGGGCAGCTACACTCTTATTTTACTAAAATTATGCAACGGTCAGTTTTCAATCAGCACCTGATGACTGCATCGTAAGTGAAACTGTTACGGTGAGTAAAAAAATGCATATTCATTATTTATATATATGGAAATTATAACTCTGTTATTCTACAGTGGGCACCTAGACTCAGTGTGTGATTATATATATATATATATATATATATATATATACACACTCGACTCTCCTCCCGTCGAATTCGACATATGAGGGTCAAGCAGATCAGTTCCTAGGAAACCGACAGCCCGACACCAGCACATGAGATTTGATTATAGTGGTGAAGGTTTCGTGCAGGACCATCCACACTTTTTGAAGGGCAGTATGTGCCACAAGGTCCCCAAATGACCCTCCGCAGGTTTTGAATTCGGAGTTTTCCGTCTCCTAGACCAGTTGCCATCCAAGGCTATAGAACCCAGAGAAGAAGAGGATTCACACCTTTCCCAAGGGTATTAGCATGTAAGTGAATGTAATGGATTTGACTGGCATCTGAACTCGGCTCTTTAATTTCTGAGTACGAGATATCCATTACTCCAGCGTGCCTCCTCTGTAAAACCTATTTACACATATAATTATTGCATTTGTATTACTCTTTCTGATACAATTCTGGGCATAAATATCACATTCCTGGTTCCATTGTCTTCAGTTGTTTTCCTTCTCCTAGACCAGTTGCCATCCAAGGCTATAGAACCCAGAGAAGAAGAGGATTCACACCTTTCCCAAGGGTATTAGCACGTAAGTGAATGTAACTGGATTCGAACTCAGCTCTCCGATTCCTCAATCCAAGCCGCTATCCATTACTCCACCGTGCCTCCATATATATATATATATATATATATATATATGCACACACCTCAAATACCTCAAAAGCATGGTAAATTCAAGTGCATCACTTGATGATGAGATTGTTAATCACATTTCAAAAGCCAGTGCTTCCTTTGGTTCGCTGCGTCATAGGTTGTGGGATGAAAGGTGAATGTTTGGTTTGCTTTGCTTTACAGCATCACAACACCCCAATAGGTTATTCAATGCCGACAAAATTTTCATTGTCGGTAATATATTTTTTCCCAAAATCTATTTCTGGTAATATTTTTTTACTTTCAAAAATCTATTTCTGGTAATAATTTTCCTTTGCCAGTAATATTTGTTTTTCAAAAATGTATTGCTGATAATATTTTTTTTATACTTGCATAGTGTTTTGATCCCACTTTGAGGCTTAACTATTTGTCCATAGCAGGTGCTACCACCCCAGGTCAAGGTGGATCTGGGAACATCAGCAATTAAGAGGTAGTTCCATGCTCCTCAACACCTCCTGATCAGAGGCCTTGCTGTTGGACGTAGTTTATCGTCTTTCTTACCCAAGTCTCAGATGTAGTTTATCGTCATACCCAGGATGCTGAAGGGGAATAAAGCTTTGCAGTAAAATCCAAGTGTACAGAGCTGTCGTTTTGTATGGCTCTGAAACTTGGACACCTTACAGATGGCAAATTAAACGATTAGATGTCTTCCATAAAGGTTGTCTCCGTACAATATGTGGCCTAACTTTTGATGATTGAGTGTCAAATGCCGACCTTTTTGAGAAATGCAAGATTTGCCACGTGGCAAAGATGAGTGATGATCACATACCAAAAGTTCTTTTTTACACTCAACTCCGTAGGGGTCATAGAAATGTTGGTAGACCTTGGCTCAGGTATAAAGATAAAACCTAAAGCAACCTTTCTTGTGTCAACATTCCATTCAATAACTTTGAAGAGGTAGCTATGAAGAGATCGGAGTATCATTCTAACTGCCATTCAGGAATAATACACCATCAAGAAGTAAGCATCAGTCGACTATGTGAAACATGAAAGTAAAATAAGACATATAACAGTGTTCCTGCTGCACTTGGATACAATATATTCTCCTGTACTGTTTGTGGTCTTTTGTGCAATTCTCGAGCCAGTCTCAAAAGTCATGCCCGTTATAGGCATGCAGATAATTAGTTTGTAGTCGTCGGAAACTCATACATCGAACTCGATGGGAGAGTCCATCATATATATATATATATATATATATATATATATATATATTAAATAATATAGACAAGTGTTATCTATTTATTTTATGTAAATTTTTGATAAGTTTAATAACATTATCGTTGAACGAATAAAAAAATTCACAATATTGATCCATATTTTTTTTAATACAATCTAAGCTTTCGGCTTACATAAGCCATTATCAAAGATGTCAGTTACAACATATTAAACAATATACGGACACGACAGTGATGATAGTCTGTGATTGTTTACATAGATGATTTCTAAGCAATGATAAACACGTGCATATAAGACGCTAGAAGCGAAAATCGCACCGCATCTCATGACGTCACACATGACCACACGAGAGTGAATTGGAGGATGAAGTATGGAAAGCCGTTGGTATAAACCAATGGATTCTGTTACCAATTATAGACATTTAAGAATATTTGTAGAGATGCCATGATTGATTTTGTTTAGGTTGGGTTTCAACTGTTTGATGTATAATGCTTCAAGGATTTTTAGTTTTTGTCTATTGTTTTCATGTCGAAGTATAATTGTGTTTTCGACAAGTATTTTACGGAATTGTGATTGCCAGCAGGCATGTTGTTTTAAATACCTAAGAATGTTACAGTTTTCATTCAAATGTAGTGTCAAGTATCGTGAAAGCGAGTTTGTGATGCAACCAACAAATATTATTTAATTCGTTGAGATACAATCTCCCAAAGGGCACTTAAATTTATAAACTATGTTGGTTTTTGCAAATCGCTAAACGGGGAGAAGAATCATTGCGAGAATATATATATATATATATATATATATATATATATTATAGTAAAAAACAAAATTTACCTCAACATAGAGATAGTCTATTTCAAGCTATATGATGATGAGGTAATTTTTGTTTTTTGCTGTAAAAATACATATACTCTGTTATAATAAATACATCAAGCTCTCTGTGGATCAGTTTTAATAATTAATATTACTAGGATCCACTTGGATTATATACCAATGGATCAATTACCTGTACTATATATATATATACACTAGTTTAAAAGCTGCCTATACTTTATTTCATGGGTCCCTTTCGCTGGATTTCACAATTAATTTTGATTATTCCCAAATGTATTTCCAAGTAATAAAAATTGTTATCATCCAAAAAAATATTAGTCGCAAAAAATCCCACAAAAAAATTGCAGTAATGAAAACTTGGAAATCTAAAATTTCAGGATTGCAGGTCTGAATCTGGCCCAGGATGTTTTTAATTTGCTCACAGTGTCAGCCTCATTCCAAAATGGTATGATATGTTGGGCTACGGCCTCTAGTAGTAAAGTTGAAAAAGTGTGACAAACTGACATTGGCATTTATTATATAAAAGGAGGAGATGGGCTAATGAGAGTTGCAGCCCTTTAATTGAAAAAGTGTGACACACTGACATATATATATATATATATATATATATATATATATATATATATATATAAAGACAAAAGGAAAACTTATCTTAGCTGACATGTTTCATGCTCCGAGGAACTTTATCAAGGCAAATAAAGTCTCTCAGCAAATGAAGCACATCGGTTAGGATAAGTTTTCATTTTGTTTTTATTCATATACACCTTTTACAGATATACTCTATCTGAAATTTTTAAACAAAAACACACATGCACAAACATATATACGTACATATGGAGGTCACTCTTGTTGTATTTCAATAGAGGGATTGATATCCAAAATATATATATATATATATATATATATATATATATATATATATATTAGTAATTTTTTAATTAATTTTTTTATTTGGTCTACATAAATATTTTTTTTGCTGCATTTAGAATTTTAGTGACACCTCTACTGTGTATGCACTTTCATGTCAGATGTAATTTTATCAAACTGCCAATCAGCTGCTATCTCAAACAAAGTGAAGCAAAAGGTATGGTTTACTGGTGGGAAGTTTCAGCCACCACTGATAGATCATCAACATCTACTGCTGTTATTGTGAGCCTACACTGCTTTCACTGTGACCATCATAATTAAGAATAATAAATTAATTGCAAAACTCTGATAAGATCAATGAAGCACATTTCCAAGCGCTTGTGATAGAGAGATTCAATCATGCATGAAACTTACATTATGAATAATTAAATCTGCAAAAGAATTTCATTATAACCAAACACAATCAGATATATATATATATATATATATATATATATATATATATATATATATATACTCAACTCTCCCCATTGAATACGATATATGAGGGTCAAGCAGATCAGTTCCTAGGAAACCGACAGCCCGACAACAGCACAGGAGATTTGATTATAGTGGTGAAGGTTTCGTGCAGGACCATCCACACATTTTGAAAGGCCGATTAAAAAGACCTGGTGCACTATGTGCCACAAGGTCCCCAAACGACCCTCCACAGGTTTTGAATTCAGAGTTGTCCTTCTCCTAGACCAGTTGCCATCTAAGGCCATAGAACCCAGTCTGTCCTGCTATTTACCCATAGCTGGAGGGAGAAGAAGAGGATTCACACCTCTCCCAAGGGTATTAGCACATTAGTGAATGTAACTGGATTCGACTGGAATTCGAACTCAGCTCTCTGATTCCGCTATCCATTACTCCACCGTGCTTCCTGTTTTATATATATATATATATATATATTATGAAATGGACTAAGTAAGACAATTATTTAAATATAATGTCTGTGTGTGTGATACTGTTGTTGTCTTTAAAGAGGTTACAAACAGAAAAATTGTTTTGTTTAATATTCTCCATTTATCTGCATCTCTAATATATATATATATATATATATATATATATATATAGTTTATGCAAACTTAGGTAATCTGTATGGGTAGACCCGAGGAGGATGATATCCAGAGAGCTCAATGTAAAATTCAGAGCAGATATGTTTGAATAAATATATATATATATATATATTATGAAATTGACTAAGTAAGACAATTATTTAAATATATTATTATGTTATAATAAAGATAATGGTTAAAAGTATAGCTGAAAGCACATGGACATAAGTGTTTATACAAAATTTTTACTGTGTTTGTCTAAGTGTTTTGTTTTCTGGACATAAAGTGTGTAAAAAAAACTGTTCTATATACCAGAGTGCTTTTATCCATTCTATTAGTCTTTATCAAGGATGTTTTTTAACTGAATATGTAGATTTTTATATATGTATATCTGTAGCTCAGATATATAGAACATTCAGACAGTTTATTAAC